CGGAAATTGCTGCCACACTCGAGTTTCGAACTCGCGTCTCTCCGGCCAGAGGGTTTTTGTCCGCTTTTTCACCGATATATGGTCACTTTCCTGCATTATTCTGACTGGGAAATAAGAGTTGAAAAAAAACAAAGTTTTGTAGCGCCGCCGACAGTAAAAACGATGGTTGGCTCTATCGTATGAAGCTGGAGAACTTGATTTCGAACACATTTTATTGCTGAATTTTTGAATAAATCCGAAGGTTTCTCATATATAAACATTATATTTTTTATTAAAAGCAACGCATAGCAAAATTCGCAAGTAGGTTCACACTACGTCGAGTTAAACTATGCGCAGTTTTTTGGCCAACAAGATAGTTTATTAAATTATTTTTACCTATAAGTGAATTACGGAACGTACGTTATATGCATCCAAAGCATTTTCTTCCAATACACCAATATGAATTTTTTTATCTGGTCTTCGCCAGACTAAATTAAAAATATTAGGTTGCATGGTACTAGTTATCGTGCACAGAACGTAAGCTAACTTCTACCACTTCCGAAGGTCCAGATTCCAACATCTGCAGGCGAGAGCTTGCTCTACCTTCGTATTGTTTGGTACCTATTTCTCATCCAGTGAAAATCTCTAATTTCTGAAACAGTTTTGCTTAATAGCGATCGTCATTTTTGTCTATAATTGGGTTTTAAAGGTATGTTCACAGCTAATGCAGTTACCAAGAGGGGACCCAATGACAATAATTGGCACACGTGTACAGCAGGTCATACAATAAATCGTAAAAGTTGTTCGGTCGGCTGGCGAGAAAGGATGAGGGAAATGCCATATTTTATCGGGGAAGGGCTCTTGCAAACCCAACGACAACAGTCAGTTCGACATGCAAATGGTGACACACAGGGGAAATTCCACTGCAGCCAGCGTATACGAAGAGATTGCCAGGAGTTGAGGCCATCGGACTCAAACAGAGAGACTTCTGTCTGTTCGATTGATGATTCAGCAACCTGCAGGCAGTCTGCTTTAGTCCATTTATCAGACGCATGAACTTAATTCTAGATTTTCTTTGTCCTTCCCTTCAGGGTTCTATTTTATGGACAATGTTTATTGCAGAGGCAATGAGTCGCGTCTGGCTGACTGCCAGTTTGACGGATGGGCCCGTCATGATTGCAGTTACGGTGAGGATGCCGGGGTCCAGTGCGCCCAGTTGGCGGCTCCCAAGGAAAAGACATCTTGGAACCCCCTGAAGCTTAAGTATGATGAGGAGACGCTAAACAAGATGCGAAAGGTAAGGATGGATTCTTCTATATGTGAGAATCCAATCTGTGAATACTCGTTCTAAGCAGGCACCGAATTAATTTTTTTTTAAGCATAACTTAATTGACGCTGTTGTCGAGATTATTTTGTGACAGGCTGTTGGAAAGATGGTGCCATGTGGAAAATGACATGAATTTATGGTTCTTCTAACTGATTCCTAAAATCCATCAAAGTGTGCATTTCTAGTTTATATTAAGTCCATGGAACAATGGTATTTTTACCGACAAACACAGAGCACATCCATGAAGGTCTTTTCTGCCTCATTGGGCAGCATCAGGTGGTGGTAGCTTAACTCCAGTGTAGCAGCGGAAATTGCCGCCACACCTGAGTTTCGAACTCGCATCTCTCCGGCCAGAGGCGAACGCTCTAACCCTTCAGCCACGAGTCCGCCGTGTTGTCGGTTCCTGATCGGGACTATATAGAAGTGGGTAACTCTACACCGATCTGTTTCAGGATGTACCCATCCTGGTTGATGCCTTGTTTGCGAGTTGGGCTACCACCACCTGATGACGCCCAATGAGGCGTAAAAGGCCTTCGTGGTGTGTTCTGTGTTTGTCGGTAAAAATGGTATTGTTACTAAAAGCTAGCGAGTACCATAAAAAATTCGCCCTGAACACATATGATTGGGGTTCCAATTAGCTCGCAAAAAAGACATCAACCAGGATGGGTACATCCTGAAACAGATAGGTGTACAGTTACCCACTACTTAGTCCATGTATATATTTCAATCAATATTTCGTAGATTTCAACGCATTCTTATATATTACTTTTGTGAGAAGACGGCAGTTTGAAAGCAGGCAAAAATGCAATCGTCTTTATTTGGCTTACCGCATAAAGACGTCAATTTGATGTAAACACTAGTCGAGGGCACCGTCTTCCCAATTTAATTCATACTCGAAATTCGCTTAAGAACAGGTCGAATGGATAGGCGTTTGGAATACCTGCTGCAGTAGAAAGTGACCTGGAAGGAGAGCTTTAAGACATTTTTAGTGTTGTGCAAATGTTGGGTAAGTTTGTGCGTTTCTGCTCAAACGTTGCGCGTGATTGCATTGTCTAAAAATCTGGTTTTAATCAAGTAAAAAATCGTCTTCTGAGGAGTACTTAGTCAAAAAAACAGTATGTGTCTCTGTGGCACCAGAAATTTACCGGTCATTTCCTATTTGTAGCATGTCCTATAATGGCCTATCAAATATTTTTGACCAATGCTAAACAAGTCAACTTGGTGTTTAGCTGTGAACGCCTGTTTGGCCATAGTACACAGTTTCACCGCGAATGCCTGTAGGTGCTCCCGAGTGTAAGTTTGATACAAAAATTAAATAGCCCAGGCACTGTCCTGCAAGCAAGACACACATAGGATTATCTCCTCTATAGCAATAGCCATAAACGGGTAAAAGGCAGATCAAAGTAAATTGAGTCGGTCACAAACAACAATTTTTGACCGACCTTAACCAATGTTAACCGAAATTCTTAAAGGCATTTTTGTTAACGAAGGATTACTTCAGTGGGACTGAGATACTCATTGTTTCGTCCCTTGACTTCTCGGACTGTATCCAGCAGTCACGTGTACGCCAAAACCACTGATAAAAACTGTCAATGTGGTACGGTACTATTAAAAATCATAGCAACAGATAAAATGCACAAACCTTAACAATGGATATTCCAAGTCAAGAGCGAAGGGAATCGGTCAAAGGGCGTGGATCTGCTTTTATATGATCCCAAGAGGCAGTTGCGTTGGTCTCCTATTGGTCTGAAAACACCAACGCCAAATGGGGGGGGCGGACGTGAACAGAGATAATA